GGGCGGGGCCGGAGACACAGACACCCCCCACGCCACCCCACCCCACCCCAGCTGCCCTGCGCAGGGACACGGCCCACGGAGCGCCCAGGTCAGGATGTCCTCAGCACCGCGGTGAGGGCAGGGGGCACTCGCGTGGGGACACGCACCTGCTCGAGGCCCTGGAGCCAGGACTCATTGCTTTCAGAACAAAACAAAAAAACAAAACAAACAAACAAAAAAAATGGTCACAGGTCTCCTCCTTGAGAAGATGCGCCCCCAGCCACACGGCCATGGAGGGGCGGCCGGAGCCGGCCTGACTCCAGCAACCACAGGGGCCAGAGCGAAGCGGCGGAGAGGGCCGCTGCAGCGCTGGCGCTCCGCGGCCCGCTGGATCTCGTCTGCTTTTTATTCGCCGCTCAGACCGGGTGCCCTCCTGTCTTTAGTCATACAATCGCAAACGTCGCTGACGTTGAGCATTAAGTGCTTGACTTGTGTTTTAATGTTTGCTTAAGTAGGCTCTGTGATGCAGAACAGCAAAAAGAAACACGGACAGGGATCTATTTCGAACACGTGTCTTTGTAACCGACACTCATTCAAGCAGTAATGAAGAATACTACATACAGCAGCTTCTGACTTGGAGTGTTCGAGAAGAATTTACTATACTTAAACCTCTGCGAGTTATACCTAAATCTTAGAAGATTGTGTAAGTAGAAGATGTGTTTCGCCAGCTAAACACAATTCAGGTATTTAAGTCTGATGGTATCTGTAAAAAGAAAGTGTTTCTTCACTGGAGTAAGGGGTTTTATACTGACAAAGCAACTCTCAAACTAATAAATCTGTCACTGACCAACACTATTTTTCTAAGCATGGGAGGAGTTTGAGGACAGCACATTTGAAGCAGAGGGCAAAGCAGAAAACAGCAGATGTGTTCTAGGTGAAGAATATTACAGATGGGTACATAAAGCTTTCACCAACGTTTCAAATAAAATCACAGGTTATTAAAACGAAGTATGTTATAATTTGTTTTCATGTTTGCTAATGTCCAATAATATTCCTCACTTGGAAAATGCCTCTTTAGTTTCTCAGTTTACCAATCCTTTTTCTCTCCACTGTGATGTTTGATCTGGGAACAAAATTTTTTCAATGGGTTTCCACTGGAGGTTTTTCTATATTAAATAATCACAGTTGTCAGTGTCTGTTTTTACAAAGTCTGCACTTCATAACTGCTGAATTTCTCTTCTCGAGAGACAACTAGATTTGCCTCTGGGTTGTATTGGAGAAGACAAGGTACTTGTTAAAGATTTGAAGGATGCAGCAAAACCTGTTTGCAGGGCAGCCTGCTCCAAAGGAGCCAGCTAGCAAAAATGCACTCTGAAATGGAGGTTTAAAATTCAGCTGGCTCTGCGTGGCATAGCGTCAGCGAGTTCTGAGTTCATAAGCAGGTCTGGCCTGGGTAGTTAGAGTTGCTGATGACTATCACATCACACTGTCAGGTTTCTGTACCCTAGAGCGAACTCCTGTACTTGTTACTTTGTAAGACAGGGATCCTAGCTTTTACTGATCTGTAAGAACCAAGAGAATCCTACTAGTTATAGACTTCTGTGTTCAAGGGTTCAGATTAGACTATAAAGTCACTGTAAAGTTGTCCAGAAGCCGATGAGGGGTTTTGTACACCACTGGCATATAGATCCTGCAAGCACATAGGCAGCTGCGGATTCTGCCCCTTGTTAACAACATCAGAACTATTTAATAATGTTCATTCTTAAATGAACACTAAGCATTTCTGACCTGTGACTTCTTTTCTTGCAGCATTGTTTTGGCTTTTGAGCCAAATGTTTAATGTTAGCTGAAGTAACTTCTGCGATGCAGAATATCAAACAGAAACACAAATAAGGCCGGGTTCTATTTTTTGTTCTAAAATTATGTCTTTGTACTTTAGTAATGCTGAAAGGAATCATGTACAGCTGAAACAAAAATGACTACACGATGTGGTTATGGCAAAACAATTTATATATCTAGCCATGAGAAAACACATCCTTTAAATACAATATTTGGATTTTTATGGGATTCTGCTTGATCCAATACCCTTCTTAGAAAAGAACTTTCAGAGAGAATTTTTTTTTATATATGTATGTGGGTGTATATATGTAGTTTTGAAAGGAAATAGGCTATGTTTCTTAACTGTGATGAAACAGCTGACATTTTTGTTTATGCTGTAGCAATTCAAATCACTGCATTTACTGAGGAAATTCCCTATCATGTTTACGACTGCCCCTGTAACAACTCTTGGTCTTTTCCCACGTGTTTTAGAGAGTTCCAAGGGATGCTGCCAACGCTTACTTATGATTGCACGGTTCTTTGGATATATTGACACTAGAAGTACTTTACTGATAGAGAAATCCTGATGCTGTAGTTCACTGAAGTACATCCATTGAAAATGAATCTACGCCAGCAAAGCTCTGCTTTCTAGCAAGACTA